CAGCCTCCCAGGTTTCTCTTACTCTAGGCATGATATTGTTCACAACCTTAGTGAGCTCTTCTTCTGCTGTTAAGTGTGTTTGCCCCTATTTCGGTGTGTTGCTCTGGTGTATCTATGCTATATTCTGTTCACTGGTGTATCTGTGCTATATTCTGTTAACTGTTGCATCTTTTAATATGGTAATCTATGTTGGGGCTGCTTGTGTCTAGTGAATATCATCACTTTGGTGTCTTTTACCTTGGTGCACCTGCTCGGGTGCTGATTGTTCTGCTACAGCACTGTTGTCTTCATAGCAATGTTGTATTGTACCTGTGCTGATTGTTTTGTGAGCTCTGTTGTGTATTTGTGTATCTAGAGTAGTTTAAGGATTGCAGCTGAGGGCTAATAACTAGTTGGTACCTTGGTCTGCCACCATTTGTTGTGACATGTTCTGTCATTGGCTGGTTGCTGTTTTGATGTGTTGGGTGGCTTTTGGAGTCTGCTGGTGTGCTGGTTTGTTGGCTTGGGTATTACTTGCTCCTTCCCTTGATTTATGTATCAATCTGTCTCAGTGCTAATTTGCTAGTTTAGGCAACACCTGCCTCAGTCTTGGCCGTGTTTCTATCTATTTATCTTGGTTTGCTGTTTGGGTAACATCTTCTGGTCTACCACCATTGGCTAGGAGCAAACTCTGCTTCACTTTGTGCCTCTGGTCTAGTCTGCCACCATGAGTTAGATTGAACAACAAACTCTACTTCACTTTACAAAAACAATTATTTATCTTCAAAAACAATTATTAATCTGCCACCAATTACAAACTCTGCTTCACTTTATAAAATAATTATTTATCTTATGGTCTGGTTTGCCACCATGACTAAGCATCTTTAATTGTTCATGCATGTGACATTTGAGTATGAATAAATGCCAAGTTACTAGTCAAATTAAAGATACTAAACTCAATGGACAAATAGGCAAAACATCCCGATTGGTTATTACTATTTTGTTTAATATTTTCCATTTGCTATCCATTCCCATGTTCATCTTTGCTTGATGTGTAGGGTTGGAATAATGGACAAGAGCTAGATGATAATAAAAGATAGGCTAAAAAGTAAAGAGTATCAAGAAGGTGTGCAGTCATTTATTGAGTTTGCTATGAAAAATTTAGGGCCACGGGATGAAATTCGTTGTTTGTGTGTTGATTGCTTGAACGGCACAAAATTGAGTTAACAAGTTGTACAGTTGCACTTGATTCGAAGAGGAATCGCGAGGTGCACCATGGGGAACATGTTCCCATGTCTCGTGATCATCCTACTATGCGAAACGATATACTGAAAGCAACAAAGCTGGAATGATAGCCAATCACAAAAATTTGGGTGAACTTCCTACTATGTTAGAAGAGATTTACATGAGTAGCCTTATGGATGACCATATCGACGAAGAACGTAGTAGTTCGGAAAGGGACAATTTGTTGAAGTTCATGAATTTGTTTGATGATGCTCAACGCAAAGTATGTCTAGAGTGTGAAAAGTTCTCCATCTTGTCCTTCGTAATTAAGATGCTTCACGTCAAGGTGTACAATAAATGGAGTAACAAATCTTTTGATGTGGTTATGCAAGTTTTCAAAGACATTCTACTAAAGTGTGATGAAACTGTTCCATAGACCCTTTATGAAACGAAAAAGTTCTTTTGTGAATTTGGTTTGGGATACGAGGCCATTCATGCATGCAAGAATGATTGTACTTTATTTTGGAAGGACAATAAAAAATTGGAGAATTGCCCTACATGTAAAGAGTCTAGATGCAAGTTGAATGACAAGACGGGTAAAAAAATTGCTCACAAAATATTGAGGTTTTTTCCTCTGACACCGAGGTTGAAGAGATTGTACATGTCGAAAAAAACAGCCGCAAATATGAGGTGGCACAAAGATAAGCATGTTGATGATGGAGTATTACGGCATCCAACAGATGCTGAGGCATGGAAAGACTTTGATAGGTAGCATCCTATATTTTTTGTGCATGCTCGGAATGTAAGGCTAGGGCTTGCCATGGATGGTTTCAATCCATTTGGAAATATGAGTACATCGTACAACATGTGGCCCGTAATCTTAATGCCTTACAACCTTCCCCTATGAAAGTGTATGAAAGATCCATTTGTCATGTTGTCATTGCTTATTCCTAGACGATTGACACCTGGAAGAGACATCGATGTTTACTTGTAACCATTAGTAGAGGAGTTAAATAATTTGTGGGAGCATGGTGTGCAAACATATGATGCCTCAAATGGCCAAATATTTACAATGCATGCAGTAGTCATGTGGACCATCAATGACTTCCCTGCATATGGTAACATGTCTGGTTGGAGTACAAAAGGTTACTTGCCCTGCCCTAATTGTAACATGGATGCATCATCTTAGAGTCTACGAAGTATGATAGGGTATATGGGTGCCCGTTGCTACTTACCTGAGAACCATAATTAGCGATGAAGTAAGCTCTTTAACGGTGATATTGAGAATTGGTCCAAACATGTGGAGTTATCGGGAGAACAAATACTGGAGCAAATTAATTTGGGGACGTATAGGCTGTACAGAAAGCATCCAAACAACTAAAAAAGACAAAAGAATGAAAATTCGACTTCGAACTGGACAAAAAGAAGTATTTTGTTCGACCTACCCTATTGCAAAACACTGAGGCTTTGACACAACCTTGATGTCATGCACATAGAGAAGAATATATGTGACAATCTGGTTGGGACACCATTGAGCATAGATAGCAAGAACAAGGACACAGAAAAAGCCCATTTGGATATGAAAGACATGCGAATACAAAAGGAGTTACACTTGATAAGGCATGCCAATGGCTCTTTCGAGAAGCCCCCGGCATTGTACACATTGTCTCCAGCAGAGAGACAAGGTTTTTGTGATTTCTTGAAGAGATTATTTCATTTTTACCCATATACTTAGTCACAATTTTCAATGACCCCCCCAGACGACTATTATTTTCACGCATACCCCTTTACTATTTAAGTTACTATCAATTTTGTCCCTGTCGTCGGATTTGAAATGGAAAAAGTTAAAAAAAAAATTACATTTTGGCCCCAAATTTCAAAAGAAAGATGCTGACCCACCATTTCCTACCAGCAAACCACCACCAATAACCACCACTTCAAGCCCTTCTATCTCCTTTGTCATAATTTCGTTTCGCCTCATTTTTATGTCATTGGATTCAACTCACAGTCTAGTTTTCATATCATTTCTCACACATCTCATTCTTCCTCTTTTTGCATGCTATTGGAGCTCCGAAAGTTGATAAAAAAAATAAGATTGCACTCAACCGCCTGCCTTATCGATTGAACTCACTAATCAAAATGTTGAAAGAAATCTTTGTGGGCACTGAACTTCCTCGACGCATGAGGACTAATACCGACAATGCCTCATCCACTTTTCCCACAACACAAAGTGCTCGAATGACATTGTTGAAAGTGATATTCTTCGGGAGATATGCAATCTCAACCATCAACTTCACCAACATCACCACTCGAACCACTAACTTCACCACCACCGAACTCCATTACCGCCACCATGAGCATTACCATCACCAGCACCTTACAACACCAAACCCATCCTTTTCACAACCAAGTTCCATTACCACTACCTTACAACACCAAACCCACTGCCATCGCCGGACCGTCACCACCACCCATTGCTAGTTCCGTTACCACCTAGAACCATGTTCCACATCATGTTATAAGTGAAGAAGAAGAAAAAGAAGAATGAGGAAGATGGAGTAGAATGAAACAAAAGATGAATGTTTTGAAATTTTCGAAATTAGTTTTCGGACAACTTTCGGTATACCAAAACCGCCCATTACACAAACAAGTGAGTAAGCGAGGTAGTGTAGGGCAAAGTAGGAAATGAGGTGAAGAGAATGGTGAAAGAATGAAATAGAGCCGTCAAGAATCAAGAAAGATATGAAGTCCAAAAGATGGCTTGAAGAAAAGTCTTATTTTTTTATCAACTTTCGGAGCTCCAATAGCACGCAAAAAGAAAAAGAACGAGACGTGTAAGATGTGATACGAAAACTAGACCATGAGTTGAATCCAACGACGTAAAAATGAGGCAAAACGGAGTTATGAGGAAGAAGATAGAAGGGCTTGAAGTGGTGGTTGGTGGTGGTGGTTTGCTGGTGGGAAAGGGTGAGTTTGCATCTTTATTTTGAAATTTGGGGCTAAAATGTAAATTTTTTAACGTTTTTCGTTTCAAATTTGACGACAGGGGCAAAATTGATAGTAATTTAAATAGTATGGGGATACGCGTGAAAATAAGAGTAGTCTGGGGGCATCATTGAAAATCGTGTAAAAGTATAGGGGTAAAAATGAAATAATCTCAATCCTCTTATTAGGATGATAGACTATCCAAGTTCATAAAAATAATGGAGTACATGGAGAGGTTTCTCTCCGGTTTATATCGGATTGAAGGGTATTGTTAGGATTTTGTGAGCTCATCACAGAGTGCATATCAATAATTTGAATAGTTCAATGAGTAGGACTTGTCTAGTATTTCATCCCTGCAAAAAAATCATGTTGAGTAGATATTGATAGTCACTTGATCATATTACATTTGTGTTAACAATAGATAAGTATGATTTTAAAAATAAATTATTCAGACAAAACTAATCTAATTAAGTGACTATTAACATACAATCAACTTGATTTTTCACAGGAATGAAATACTCGACGAGTCCTACACATCGAACAGTTCAGATTATAATGTGGACTTCTTTGTGGGCTCACGAAGGCCCAACAACACTTTGGTGAGAAGCTTCCCAATAATGGGTACATGTGCCACCACGTTTTTTTAATTTACAACGAATGAATCTTATGAAACAATTATATTTGTTTATCATTACTGTTTTGGGTTAGCAGTTGGAAAGTTGCAATTATGATCTCAACTACTTGTGCATCTATAAATTAGGCTCCTCCTGGGCTTTATTAATTTATATATACATTTCACAGTAACCCTCTGATTTACTCATTCTCACTTCAGTGAAGAAAGAAAGAAAAGAATGGCTTTGATTTGTAGTTGTCAAGATTTTCACTCTATGAAGTTAACTACCTTTGTTCCCTTCACAAAGACCCATCTTGTATACTCCAGGGTTTCCATGTCTTCTTCTTTTTCTTCTTCTTCCGCCAGGTCCATTGCCTCCAAGTGAGTTTTGTGTGTTTTATATCACATACTAAAACTCTAGTATTTTAATTTTGGAAATGAAACTACTAGAGACTAGTTTATGTTGAAATTGATGAATGAATATATACGCCTTTTGTACAGTTTTTTTTTTTTTGTTTTTGCTTTTGTCATCAAAGATATTTTTAAAAAAAAAGAAAGAAAAAAGAAGAAGCTGATATATATATATATATATATAAGAATCGCTTAGTTATTTGAGATTCGTCTTTTCTTTTCAATTTTGTTCTTTTATTTTAAATAATTTATTAATTGTGGCCTATATGTTGAGTGAAAGTTTTTTTGTAATTATACAAACATTCTTGGTTAATTATGCCATATGTTTTTTCGTAACTACGTAAACATTCTTGGTCAATTATAAAATAGGTTTTTTGGTAATTACGCAAATATTCTTGGACAATTATGAAACATAAATTTTTTATTTTTTAACAAATTACAAATACACCCATAAGGTTTGTTTAAAATACAAATGGGCTAGAAATTACAATTATCGTTTGTTATAACTTTTAATTTAACACAATATTCAGGGAAAAAATTATTCTCTTATGTAATAATAAATTATCAAAATTGTTTATTGAAAAAAAATTCCCATATCATTAAAAACTATTAATTGACTTAATGATTTTTTTATTAACAAAATGGTTAACTGAAAATATTTTCTATATCATTAAAAATTATTAATTTACTTAATGATTTACTTATTAATAAATTTGGTCATTTGGTATGCGAGTATGATTTATGTCTTAATAAAATTAGTCAGTTTTATATATATTCCGCTTGTTTATTAGTACAGTGAATTATCTTAATAATTTTTTTTAGATAGAATAATTATCTTAGTATTTGTTTTATATTTATCTGTTGAGAAAAGCTACACATCATAATTTTTTTTTAAATTCAAAAGAAATGTTAAAGACTAATAAATTCACCCAAAATGATATGTTAGTAAAATTAGAGTTAACATCATCAGGTGTATATATAATAAATCAATAAATGATACTTATCATACCAGATAATTTTATCATATATCTAATGATTTATTCTATTTAATTTTATAGAACAATATTCTAATTTTTAAAAAATTATCAAAATACAAAATTTAAATATATTTGTATTCAATTTATATAATTTTGTGTAGAGTTACATAACATTATACACCGGAGTATGTCCCGTTGGAGTAGTTAGCCCTAATCTACCATCTCTCTCTTTTTCATTGTTTGTGTTTTAGGGAGGCTCTGCCAGGTAATTTGGAAAAGTCTCTCGGCCATGCTCAGAAGCCACAACGTTCTCTATCAACAGTAACTCATTCAATGCCTCCAGAAAAGATAGAATTGTTCAAATCCTTAGAAGACTGGGTTAAAACCAATGTCTTGATTCACCTAAAACCAGTAGAGAAATGTTGGCAACCACAAGACTTTCTTCCAGACCCGGCATCGGATGGATTCTTGGAACAAGTGATAGAACTAAAAGAGAGGGCAAAGGAGCTTCCAGACGATTACTTTGTAGTATTGGTCGGAGACATGATCACTGAAGAAGCCCTTCCAACTTACCAGAGCATGCTTAATACCGCCGATGGAATTAAAGATGAATCATGCTCAAGCCCCAGTCCTTGGGCCATTTGGATAAGGGGATGGACTGCTGAAGAGAACAGGCATGGTGATCTTCTCAACAAGTACCTCTATCTTTCTGGTCGTGTTGACATGAAACAAATCGAGAAGACTGTCCAGTATTTGATTGGGTCTGGAATGGTATATTCCTTATTCCTTTCCTTGCACAAACTTTGGCATCTCCCAAATTCATTACGTTCACTTTGCTATGGCTTGGCAGCCCATTTCATTTTATTTTTTTTTTATTTAAGGAACAGGAAAAGCAGTTATATTAAAATAAAACAAATCATATACAAGATTGTAATAAAAATAACAATACTTTAAAGGGCCAAACAAACAACTAAACAACAAATCACAAACAAAAAAAATAAATTTGCCAAAGAATCAGTTATGGGAGCCGGTGTCACTTTGCGTGAAGCACAACAGTGACTGTTGTGTGGCCCGTGAAAATCATTCGGGTCCTATTTTAATGATCCGAATTGTTGAAATTTAAAAAATATCGAGAACAATATACCTGTAAAAAATCAAGTTGATCGGATATCAATAACCTGTTCATCAAATAACATCTTTACATAAAAAAAATGAATATGTATGTATCAAACTAAATACAAGTGTTATTTGATGAATAAGTTATTGATATCTGATCAACTTGATTTTTTACAGGTATATCGTTCTCGATATTTTTTAAATTTTCAACGTCTGGATCATCAAAATAAGAGCCGAAATGAGTTCTACAGACTATACAATAGTCACTGTTGTGCTTCACACACAACAGTGACACTGTATCCTCAATTATGATACAGAAAAACTGCCAATCTTCTTATCGATGTAGTTTGAAAAGTATACTCATTTCCTTTTTGAATGGTGTAATGATATTATAAATAGAATAATGTTGAGTACACAAAAAGAGAGGAGAGAAAAAATTTGAGGCAAATTACATTGGTAATTCCTTTATTTTAGTTCTTATGTCATTTTGATCCCTATATAATCTCAACTGCCTCAATTTTGATCTTAAACTTATGACTTGGTCTCAATTTAGTCCAGTTAATTACAAATGTTGGAAAATATGTACATAAATAGTATGTTTCATGTTTTTAGAAGTAAAATTACAAACTTAATCTACTTAGTAATTTAACCTCAATAAATTTAGTGATTATGTTCTATAAAAAATACTAATAATATTATTAATTTAACCAAATTGACATAAAATTTAAAAGTAAGGGTAAAAATTGAGTTAATTGAAAGTGTATGGATCAAAGTGATATAAAGAAAAAAATGTAACGACTACTGGTTTAATTTGCCTAAAAATTTGGGTAGTGGGGTAATTGATATAACCTGCTTGTTTGGCCTAGTATATTTATCGGTAGTGGCGATTTTTTTGCATATATCGATAAAAATTGACAATTAGTGACTTTTTCTATGACGAATTTTTTAAACTGTCGCTGAAAGATGAAAATTAGTGACTTTTTTGGTGACGATATTTTTTAAATTTCATTAAAACTTATAATTAATGACTTTTTTGTGACAATTTTTAAATTGTCGCTGAAAATTAACAATTAATGATTTTTTTTAATAGCGTTTGATGAAAAACGTCATTAATTATCATAGGACCTATTAAACTATAAATTTACCTATTAAGACCTAGACGTAACTCCCCTATATTTATAAGGGGGGATTACAATTAAGGGTGCAAGATCAAAAAAAATTGGACAAATTATACCCGTGGTCTCTATATTTTACCTCTTTTGTCATTTTGGTCTTTACACTTTCAATTGTCTTAATTTTGACTCTTAATTTTAGATTTTGTTTCAATTTAGCCCAATTGATAATATCGTTAGTATTTTTTAAGGAAAATTATCACTAATATCGTTAGTCATTTTAATATCGTTAGTTTTGCTCTTAAAAATATTGCAATGACATTTATGTGCGTATTTTTCATCAAAAAATATTAAGAGTTGTAATCAATTGGACTAAAATGAGACAAAATTTAAGATCAAAATTGAGCCAATTAAAATTATAGGAACTAAAATGACACAAGAACCAAAGTATAAGAACTGTTGTCATAATTTACCCAAAAATTAACAAAACATTAACAGTGCAACTCATTTTTGTGAAGGGGTGCAACTCAAATACTGTGAGGAGTTGCACCTCCATGTTTGTGTAAATTGTTGAACAATAATTCTCCCTATTTACAATTGTGCATTTTTTGTTTTGGTAACTGATAAAAAAGAAAAATAGACATAAAAATTAGATAGTTGCTGTGGGTAATGTTGGAAATATAAATTATGAGACAATACATGTCAACACCTGCATATATTTGAACCATACCATGAGACCTATTAAGAGTTTATCTTAAAATTAATGTAAATATAATTTTAGACAAATCATTGCAAAACATAATGACATGCAAAATTTTAATTGATGTAAAAATTTGAAATATGGACAATTTCAATTGAAGATTTTTTGTCGTGAAGACATCACAAAATTTTATGCATAATATTTTGATTCATACTACTATTTATCCTTGTAAATTTTATTTGTTGGTATGGTGCTGTTCACATATTTTCATATACAGGATATTAGGACGGAAAACAATCCTTACCTTGGAGTGGTTTACACATCATTCCAAGAAAGGGCGACATTCATTTCTCATGGTAACACAGGCAGGCTAGCCAAACATTGTGGTGACAATAACCTAGCACAGATATGTGGTACAATAGCCTCTGATGAGAAGCGTCATGAAACTGCTTATACCAAGATAATGAAGAAGTTGTTCGAGGTTGATCCTGATGCTGCTGTCATAGCATTCGCCAACATGATGCAGAAGAAAATAACTATGCCAGCTCACTTCATGTATGATGGTCATGATGATGATTTGTTCATACACTTCTCAATTGTTGCTCAGCGGCTTGGTGTGTACACCGTCATCGATTATGCTAATATACTGGGTTTTTTGGTGGACAAATGGAATGTAGAGAAGCTAAGTCAGCTCTCTACTGAGGGACGAAAGGCTCAGGACTATGTCTGCAGGTTAGGTCAAAAAATTCGAAGGCTAGAAGAGAGAGTTCCACTGAGATCCGAAGAAAGACCTGCTATACCTTTTAGCTGGATTTTCAACAAATCAGTGAAGCTCTAAATAAAATAGAAGACTTATAATAATAACAATAATGGCTCTTCTCTAAGCCATTACTAGTAGTAACACAAACTACTAGTTTGATGTATGAGTGCAGTGGCAGAATCAATATATGAAGGAAGGGGCACAACATAACTGATAATTTCTCCAACTTTATGGTTGATGAAGTGTACTATGCAATGTTCTTTTTCAAAATTTGTGTTTTAGTAGAAAGTTAACCAGAGAAACTACTACTCAAACAGATCTAGTACTAGTTGAGGATTAATTAAACAGAAGAAAAAATGGGTTTAGAGCAATAAAATTATCAAAACTATTAGTTAAAATATATTTTTAACATCATTTAAAATTATTAATTTACTTAATAAAATTGGTTATTTGTTATGCAATTAAAAATTTAAAGGGACAATGTATTTTTTAAAAATAACAAAGGACAATTTGTATTTCAAGAAAGGAGCCGTGCTATTCAGGCCCGTGGGACCTACCACATGTCCCGTCTTAACTTTTACCACAACGTGTAGATTATTCATGAAAAAAATCAAATGGATCCGATAATCATAGCCACATTAGTTTATTACATTTGTATTCCAAAAAATGAATGATCTAATTTTCAAATAATATTTGTCATTCACTGTTTTGCAAAAAAAAAAATGTAATGAACTAGCATAGGTACTGTTATTGGATCGTCCTGATTTTTTTAATGAATAATCTATACATTGTCTAAAAATAAACGGTTCAAATTATGAAGACAATATTTGTAGTGGGCCTTGTGGACCCGATCCAATCCATGACTATAGACAACAACAATGATTCATCCCACTAAAAACATCACCACTAATAGCACTAATGCATTAAAAAAATAAAAAATAAAATAAAAAATACAACTCCAAGACTAAAACATCACATCATTAATGGCGGGACCCACTGCCACCTAATTAGTGGGAGCACTAATTAGTGCTCGCAAGCATTTTTCCTATAGACAACCTACTCTCTTTAAGAAAACCTTATTGGTAAAGGTACTCGAATATCAAGCTTATTCAGGGTTCATTATTCCTCGCATCCGATGGCATAGGTGGAGTAAAATAATGTATTTATCTGTTACTACAAAACGGATCCGTATATTTATGTGTTTTTTTGTGCGACTCTTTTATTGCTCACTGTTTGGATTTATATCATATTCTACCAATGTAAATGAAAGCTCCATTACACCAACGAGAAAAAATTACACAAATTTGTGTGATTTGACATCAATTGCTTATGTGATTAGGCATGTGCTCGGTTTAAGAAAAAAAAATTAATCACACAAAATGTTGGATTCTAAGGGTTGTAGGTTCTCGCGCATGGAGAAAAAGCTCGTGTCTTCAGGGTGGCAAAGTGCTACTAAAAGACCAAAGGGTTGAAAATCTTTACTATCTTCAAGGGAGTATTATGACAACCTGTGCTACTGTCAAACACCAAGCAAACAATGTGTGAATGAAGAAAGGAGCATCTACACGTTGTTATCTTTTTGTATACTAGTTGCTGTGCACGTAAATTTGGGTTGGCTGTGTTTGTTGTTCATGAATTTGGAATGAATTTGAAATCGAAAAGGAAAAAAAATATGTAAAATATAAGTAAAATATAGTTATATTTCATTTGTGTTTCACCCATCTTTTCATTTTAAAAATCTCTACCAGAATTTAATGTTTTTATTGGGAACCTGAGTTAGAGAGTAATGGACACCTATGTGGAGGGTGCAAATCTATATATATATATATATATAAGTAAAAAGGGATTTTTAATTTATAAGGCTTCCAAAAGTTCTAAATTGCCAATCTAAATTTCTCATATTGAACAAATAGTTGAAAAATTGCCAATCTAAATTTCTCATATTGAACAAATAGTTGAAAAATTGCCAATCTAAATTTCTCATATTGAACAAATAGTTGAAAAATTGCCAATCTAAATTTCTCATATTGAACAAATAGTTGAAAAATTGCCAATCTAAATTTCTCATATTGAACAAATAGTTGAAAAATTGCCAATCTAAATTTCTCATATTGAACAAATAGTTGAAAAGTCCAATTAAGGAAAATATAAGATATTAGGTCCAGTGAATATATTTTTTCGGTGATATAGGTCCACTCTTTGTGAAATAGTTTGGTGAGAAACCTTTTTGGGCATGCAAAATTATGCGGTATGCTAAATTATGTGGTGAAAAGTATAATGATTTATGGTATGTAAAAAATGTCATCAAATATAACTTTCTATGGCATGCAAAATTATATCGTGAAATGTGTAATGCTTTATGACATACAAAAAATGTCATAAAAGATTATATACGACATACAAAATATGTCATAAATATTTGATTTATTACTTTTTACAACTTTTCATGTATGCCGTAAATGATAATTAACTTTTCATGACATATCATATAATGACATTTGAGTATATGCCGTGAAAGAGTTTTTATGATATGCATTGCAAGTGCTACTAGTTAATGTCGAATGAATTTTTAATAAATTGAACAAGTGTTGAATTTAAATAACTTAATTTTTTTATAATGTTTGTATATTTATCAACCTGAGTAATATATTAATTAAACTTAACTTGAAAATTTAACAAGTTTTCAAAAAAATCAACTTTTTTGTATATTCAGTAAATTTTGAACCAGCATTAACAAATTAAATATAAATCAAACTCAAATAATTTAATTGGAAAATGATCATTTGACTGTCATACAAAACATACCCGACAAGGCAGGAAATTAATTGATTTCTAACTTTCTGTCCCGCTGCTTATATGTACCTTAATAAGCATCGCAATGTGCAAGTTAATCCAATTGTGGACTATCCTCCACACTGGTCATCATGTACATGTGCATTGTGATTTTTTTTTTTTTAATATATATTTTACATGTACATTGTGATTTAGAAACAAGAATTTGAAGGTTAGATTTCCCTCAATTTTAAATTTAAATTTTAAAAATTTTAGGGACACGTAGCCGACACGTTCTAGTTGAAGAGAAGAATAGAGACATTGAGAAAGAGTTGAAAGTTGAGGAGTAATCGGTAATGATCATCCAGGAAAATAAAGGCCAAGGCCATAGAAAATAAGGCAAAAAGTTAGCAGATAGAGCAGGGTCTATATGTATGTAGTAGGGCCAGACACAGAGTGACCTACCACTAACATGTGACTGAAATTTCGCAGCAACCGCAGATCATCCATCTTATTTCGAGTCCTACCAGGGGTGTTTGTTTGATTTTTTTTAAGTCAATTTATATAACTTTTAGTTTTAAAAAAATTATTTTAGATTGTTTAGTTAAATTTATTTCAAATAATTTATGATTGTAATAATTTATTTTAATTTTAAAAAATTAATTCTAAGAAATTATTTATCCCTTATTTCTGATTATTAATTTCTATCATGAATATGTTAATTTACGATTATACTTTTAGATTTTTTAATTTTTAATTTTTTTAAAGATAGAAAAAGACTCAAATGGACTATAGATTATTATTATTATTATTTTTATAAGAAATGTAGACAAGTCATAAAAAACAAAAAATAAAAATTAATTGAAAAAACTACTTCACAGTTTATTTAATAAATACTACTTACAACTTAAATCTATAATCTAACAGTTACACCAAACAAATTAACAACTTCTGATTAAAATTATAATTTATAATTTATTAAGTTATAATTGATAATCTGTTTTAACAATTACACCAAACGGCCACACGTAAAATTACACACACGAGGTGCACACTGATGCAACACATGTATAAATACATATATATATATATATATTGTATCTGTTAGGAAAAATGTAAGATTTCCCATAAGTAAATCAATCAATCAATGAGAATAAAAATTAATGCGGAAAAATTAAATCCAAAACCAACACAAGAATTTTTACGTGGTTCCCTCAAAGTGAGGTATGTCCACGGGATCGAAATTCGATTCCACTATCAATCAAAGAGTTTTCAAACAATTACAAACGAGATACGAATGATATCTCAAAATCACCCTTAGGTGAATTCTAAATAATCACAAATAAATAAGAGAAATGATCTCACCAAAAAGATAAACCAAAGTCTTCAAACTAGAGTTGTAGAAGATCCAAATAAACTTCACCAAATCAGCCGAATATTCACACGAGCAACCGAAAATCAAGAACTAATTCTACCGAATTTGATTTTCACCTAAGCAATATCTCACCAACAATTGATCAAAAAAGTGCTGCTACTCCACAAGCCAAAAACGACTGTTTTTATTTGTTTTTTCTCACATACAGAAAAACAAACAATACCAATATATATATGGTAAACTTGTGAGCTTTTTTATCAAATCCTAGTTATAACTAAATTGAATTGGGTCTCCACAAATTAAATATAATATATAAAAATATATTATAATTAATACAAAACTAAATTAAACTCTTTTAATAAACCATTGGGTCCCATACTCTAATAAGGAGATATACCCCAACAATTCTCCCCCTATCGACTTAGGTGGAGACATCAACCATACCCGCAAAAGTTCGATACTTCAAATGTTTGTCCTCGACAAAATCTTAGTCAACATATCTGAAATATTATCATCCGTGTGAACCTTTTCGAGTTACAATAATTTCGAATTTAACACATCACGAATCCAATGGTTTCTTACATTAATGTGTTTCGATCTCAAATGAAAAGTAGAATTTTTACTCAAATGAATAGCACTTTGACTATCACAATAAAGCACATACTTTTCTTGCTTCAAGCCCAACTCTTGCAAAAATTTCTTTAACCATAACTCTTCTTTGCAAGCTTCCGTAATGGCAATAAATTCAGCTTCGGTAGTTGAGAGAGCAACACATTTTTGTAATTTAGATTGCCATGCCACAGCTCCCCCTGCAAAAGTCATCAAATACCCCGAAGTAGATTTCCTAGAATCAACATCACCCGGCATGTCAGAATCAGTGAACCCATCAAGCAT